GCATGCCCTCCCTGGCCCTCAGCTCATATTTGGCATACTACAGGGTTTGTTGGCTACAACATGGATCAGTACAACCTCAACCCAACCTATACAATATGTCGACATATAACAAATAATATTATATATAGATAATCAAACAATATCACAGGTAGTCCTACTGGTATACCAGACTAGCATTTCCAATCTAGCATGCATATCTATCCACACTCAGCATATCAACGAATATCAAATTCTCAACCAATGGGCGGGCCTTGGTTCCTTAGACCCGTAAGTAAAGTGAGAAAAACTCACCTCACAAGAAGTGCAGAACTGATAACATCTAACTCTGAATCTTAGCTCCCGACTCAAATACCTACAACCACCATGTGACCAATTCCATTGAACCCCGAAATACCCAAAATGCCCTCAAGTCAACTTGGTCAACCATGGTCAAAGTCAAAGGTCAAAGGTCAACAGTCCATGTTGACCCAATTCGTCGAGTGCACCCACAAAATCGTCAAGTTCCCACAGTACTCAGAAGGTCGGGAAAACCTTAGCCAACTCGCCGAGTTGGCTGGAAAACTCGTCGAGTTTTCCCAGCTTAACACATACAACCCTTTTTATCGAATCTAATGCTTCAAGATGTAGATCTGATACTCTGGGCATGGAAAACCACGTAAAGTTGCCAACTTTACGTTCATGCATGCCAAAAGAAGCTCTAGAACTCATGAAAGGCTTAATAAAGAACTTAATGCATGGATGATGCCTTGAACCTAATAAAGCTTGCAACTTTAAGCCAAATGAGGCCGCAAAATGGCCAAATCTAAGGTGACAACCATGAAAAGCTCAACCCCATGAACAATCCAACAATGAGCCAAAAATATCCCAATAATCTTTCCAAGGAAGAGATCTAAGAAATAAGGAAGCAAGGTGTCGACTTTATACCTCAAAATGAATGCAACAATAGAGGAGGTTCTAGATCTATAGCCTTCCTTTCAATCTAGCCACCTCAAACTTCAAGCTCCTTCAAACGAACACCAAGAAATCACTCTTCAAGCTCATACACACTCAACTTTGGAAGGGGATGCACGAAACTAGGGTTTCTCGACAGAGGAGGCTGGTGAGGAGGCCAACCAAGGGGCTTAAGGCCTTTAAATAGGGTGCAACACCCTAAACATTAGGGTTTCATACTTAGCTGCCAACTCGTCGAGTTGAGGCACCTCGACTCGCCGAGTTGGCTCATTAATATTCGCAGTCCAAAGTCGCCTCAACACGCCGAGTTGATGCTTCTAACTCGCCGAGTTGATCCAAGAAAATGTGCTAAAGGAATCAAATTTCATACCTGAGGATTAGGATGTTACATAAATACGTAAAAAATATGTTTATATATTTAAAATACATAAAAATACGTAAACATATACATAAAAAACTTTAAAAATACATAAATACGTAAAAATACATATAAATACGTAAAAAAAAATGTTTATACATTTATATACTATATTAATAGACATGGTCATTAGGAATAATATATTTTCTATCCTTTAAGAATTTATACTTTGATAATTTTGGTCCTTTTGTGTATACTTTGACAATTTTGGTCCTTGCTTTATATCTTTTAAGAATTTACCACAATACTTTGTATACTTTGATAATTTTGGTCCTTTTGTGTATACTTTGACAATTTTGGTACTTTTGTGTATACTTTGACAATTTTGGTCATTTTATGTATACTTTGACAATTTTGGTCCTTCGCCTGTTGTAATTAGAAATTGGCCACATGTTTTTTTTTTTTTAAATATTTGCCACTTTAAGTTGACCATTTTCGCCTTACTTTTGTCCATTTTTTTCGTCTTACTACTCATTTTTCATTACAGATTGGCCACACGTGTTTTAATATTTCTCACTTTCAGTCTCTTTGACCATTTTGACATTCCTATTGTCCCTTTTCCGTCTATCGATTTGTGGTTCTGTTTTGGACTTCGTTTTGTCATTGTTTTCTCATTGTCATCATTTGTGATTAAAACAAGACACATTTTAGTAATTAATAACGGGTTCAATAAACGTACAAGAACAGCCACAATGGTGACCCGTGGTTCACCACGGGCTCACCCACTAGTTATATATAAATTTAGACAAAATATACAGAAAAGTCTCATTCTCAAAACCTGTTGAACATGTCAAAAAGGATTAAAATGAATAAATTAACCGGTTTCTTAGGCTTTTTTATTAAAAAATTTAAATAGTCGGGACTTTTCTGTTCAATTTTTTTTTTAAAACTTTATTAAAATTTTTCTCAAAATATTGAGACTTTTCTAAAGATTTAACGAATTTAACTTTGAGTCGTTAAATTAAAAACACTTATAAATTCTTGTGAGGCATGAACGTAGCAAATGTGGGTTTTGGTGTCAGGGTTTAGGAGGAAATTGGCCTTGTAAAAAACTAAAAGGTACGTCTCTCTCAAACCCTAGTTTCTCGTCATCCATGCATTACAATATCAATTTCCACTTGCTAACCTTACAATTCAGAGACCTGAGCATTAACTCGAGTTTCATCCATCGGGATGTTTTTACTTTGCAATTCCTTTTAATCATTATCGTGTATTAGTTGATTGGAGGTTCACAGATTAAGATATTTAAACAAGCAAGCGACCATACTATGATCAGGAACAGAGTAGATCTTTTATGTTTATTTCGCTGATGTGTGTGGAGTGGTTAGTATCTATATGGTCAATACTGCATTACTTACAAAAGACTACGACCTCTGTCAAAGAGGCAATGACATTTTGATTATAAGAAGTTCTTAACCCTCTACTGTTCAAATTCTAAGATTGACACGGATTTTTTAAGATTTTTAGTTTTAATTTGTTATTTTTCATGGTGATGGCTATTTATTTGTTTGATGTAATCGTCATTAACACCTCTAATCAAAATAATTATGAAGTTCTTGAAGTTCATTAAATAACGTATTTCACATCATAGTTGTACTATAAACATTAGTTTAACAGGTCATCAGACTATTATTACCCTATTGGAATTGGGGATTTTCTTGTTTCTCCCATTTCATAATTCGTATATCACTTAATTTATATATATTTAGTTGTGTTATATGAAATTACTTTTCTATATTTGTTCTCGTGGTATCAATTCTACTTCTTATGGGCATTTATACACTTGTATCATAAGTGCAAAATTGGTTTCCTAATATGTTTGAAAAAGGAAGGCTAGGCGTAGGATGTAGAATTATATCATTGTTGTGGATCTTAACTTCACTAGCAGAAAAGAAAGAATGCATGTCTTGTTTAGAATAACAATCATACACTTATCAGCTAGCTAAAAGATCTATCAAATTTACAAATAACCTTAATACATTTACAGAAGTGGTAAAAATATTCAAGATGTGATTTGATGCGTCAGTGTTGCAAAATAATTTTTGTTCATTAGATCCGCAAGGGAGCCGATGGGACGATAAGACCAGGCTTATAAGCAGCACTACCTGATGCATTATTGATGCTATGTTCTAACCTGTGTTCATTATTTAGTAGGTGTTGTTTGCATTAGGACACAACATGTATAAGAAGTTGTATTCTTCTCTGCTATCCAAGTCATTGTTAGGCGTGTCAAACCCAACAAATAAAGGGTACAAATGACTCCTTAAACACTACTACTATGCACTAAAAACGTAGTACAAGGTAAGTAGGGTCGATCCACAGAGACACGGGACAAGTGTTTATACCTTTTTGCGTAAGGTACAAAAATGGTCACAGAATGGGGGGAATTTATAAGCAATGATTTAAACTATAGAATAAAGCAATAAGTAAATGATTGATTAAGTGAAATAAGTTCAAGATTTGTAAGTACTCCAACTCTATGCAAGACAAATTAGCAATGTGATTTCATGGATGACAAGATATTTGTTTAATTCTATCTAAGTTGGTACTTGAAAGTGTTAACAAGCTCTAACACTTCCCATTCACCACAATAATTAACCAAAACAAGCTCTTTGATTAATCCTAACCTTACTAACCTAATCTAAACAAGCTCTTAGAATTAGATTGAAAGGTTGCTTTAAACTTTATGTGAATGTTCCCAACAACACTCAATACTCCTCACAAGCTCGGGAGTGTAAAAGTGTGTGAAAAGATTTACACTAAATTCATTCAATAGAAATCAAATTAGTGCTTGTTACCTAGTCCAATTTACAAAACAATTACGGATTTTGCAATTAGATAACTTGAATGATCTAACCCTAATTCAAATGGCCAATAAGAATCACAATTAGAATCAAACATTCGATTGAGACAAAATCAAATTCACTAGATAGAAAATTGAAAGAAAACATCAAGTCATATGATTGAAATCACAACTAGAAGTCAAGACATAAAGTTGGAGAATCTAGGGTTCTAGCCAATCATGGCTAGAACAAGATCACAAATCTAGAAAATGAAATTAAAGTTCTTACAAAATGAAATCAAATGTTCCCAAGTGTTAATCTACTTCCAAAAGCTCTGAAAATCGCCTTCTCTTTGCCCAAAAGTCGACCCCCTCTTAAAAAAATTGGTTTTCCCCTTTAAGAATGGTGAAAAACTGCTTTAAAACCCGCATTTACGTTTACACGGCCCGCGTAAATTAACACTGTCGTTTACGCGCCCGCGTAAACGCAAAAATACACTGTGCAGAAATCTACGTTTACACGGCCGTGTAAACGCAAGGCTTCCATTTACACGGCCGTGTAAACGTCTGTAAAGCCAAAATCTTCATTTCTTTGATATCTTGCTCCTCGGTGCTCCGCAAGTCCTGAAATTTTGTCCGCAACTTTTATTTACCTCCTCCAACAATATCCTACCTCCAAAAGTCCCTGAAATATCACAAAATTATTTGAATGAAATTGCCTCATGAAAAATCCCGAAAAACATGCAAAATGCATGAGTTTAAGCCTATATGCAATGTACTTTTATGAAATAAAGCTACAAAATGGGTACATGAAATGCACCTAACAGTCATCAATTTAACTTTTACATTATGAAACGCAGATTATCATTAGATACAGGCCAGATTGTGATTCGTGGAGGCAAAAAAGAAGGAATGATGGTAGAAGATAGATTGAGCAGCTTGCCAGATGAGCTTATTCATAAGATTCTGTTTTGTTATGACATGAAATTTGCTGTTCAGACATGTTTGTTGTCATCAAGATGGAAGCTTGTCTGGACATCGTTGCCCTGTCTCAACTTCTCAAGTCGGCAGTTTCATAGACTAGATAAGTTTGCCAAATTTGTGACTCATGTCCTGTCTCAACGCAACCATCAAATAGAAGTGTCTACCGTAAAGCTACGTTTCCATGCAGGAGTTAATCAGGATTTTGTGAGAAAGATTGCAGAATATGCCTTCTCTCACAATGTCCAACAACTAACTGTCTTTGGTCCGTCCTCATGCCGCCATGTTTACCCTTCTTGCCTATTTAGCTCTCAGTCTCTTAAGCATTTCACATTCACTTGCATTAGTTATACGCGACTTCTCATTACAACTGAAGCACCTTTGGATTTTCCATCTTTAACAACTTTGAATCTTTGTAATATCATATTGTCGGGTGATGTTTTCTCCAAGTGCCTAAACTTAAAGAATCTCACTTTAGAAGATTTCTATGTCAAGGATATGGAAGTATGTGACATCATTACCCCTCAACTTTCTAATCTCAAGATTATCGATGGTCGTTGTTCAAAATCCATCAATGTGATTGCACCTCAACTTCAGAATCTTACTGTAATTAATTGCTCAATCGGGTACTTGAACGCTCCACCAATACTTTCGTCTTTCTGCTACACGTTTCAGCTGTGGCCTTGTAGGCTTGTGCAATTCTCTAATGATCGGTTTCATTCACTAAATAAAGTGACGATCTACTTGTCTAAGTCTAAAGATTATCCAACCGTGCTATATAAGGAGGAAGATGCTCGCATGATTATTAACATGCTTCAACACATCCATAGTGTCAAATATCTTACACTTGACGCAGACACTATTGAGGTATGTTGATATCATATCACTCGTTTATGACATTTAGTTGAACTATGGATAATTGGATATGCCTTGTGCATTCCGAAAAGCATGGCTTATTTTTGTTAATATCCTTTAAGAATGATCTAGAGGCAGTTCTAGCATTTCATATACATGACTTGTTCTCACTTGGACTTCAATCATAGAACATTGTTTCCACCAGTAGACTTCAAATATTGATTTCTAGTACCATGTTTTTAGTCACATGAAAATTGTGTCTGTCTTCTTTTGTTTCTGGAATGCGAAGATTATCTTTTTATACTTACAACAGCAAATTACCAGCTACACATACACTACTGATATATATATATATATATATATATATATATATATATATATATATATATATATATATATATATATATAGGGCCGGCCCTAGAGAGTGGGCATGTTGGGCGACCGCCCCGGGCCTCGCCAAATCTCGGGGCCCCTAAAATTTGCTATTAATATATATAGGTTTAGAGGATATAAAGTATAATCTGCAACAAAAAAATAAAACTGGATGTAGTTGAGATGGCTTAGGCGCATGATAACTAAAATCCGTCTGAGAATTGGCCGTGTTCGAACCTTTTCCTGTCCTCTTTCTTTTTTCATTTTTGGAAAAACCTTTTGGAAAATCGAAAAAGAGGCGCCAAAGATAAAGTGGTAAACGAGGAGGCGGGATTTCAAAGGTAAAGTGTTAAACGAAGGGTCGTTGCAACATATATTTTTTTTTTCATCCATATCAATTAGCAAACTAAAAACAGCGAACCCTCATCTTTAATGTGTGTAAACAGTTTTGCTTCATACATCTACCATGAGAAGCAAACTAAAACACCTCTGTTCTTCTACTTTTTATTTTTATGAGCTGATTAAGTTTTTTCATGTGATGATCTTTTAATTTCTAGCTATTTAATGCTTCCAGAGACCTTTGTGTTTATGTTATCATGATCATTAGTTTGCCCCATTTTGTAGGATATTCATAGGAAAGAAGTGTTATGGTGATGGTATTTGGTTTCTATCTTTTCTTGATCTTAGTGGTTTTTTTATTTAGAGTTTTGTGATTGCATATCCGATCTATGATTTTTAATGAGTTGTTTTATTCAATTAAGTTCGTTGCTATCTTGGAGGTTTTTCCATGGAATCATATTTGTTAACCGAGAAAAATAGAATTCGGTGGTGTGTTTGAGTTAATTTAATTATATTGAGAATTTCAGGTCTTAATATTTATTCAAAAAAGCTTTACGAAAAATATAATTATAATTGAATTTAGTCATGGAAATTCCCCCTGAGTTACTAGTTTTGATTTGGAAATCGTCACTTTTTATGGATTTTGTTATCAAATTTGCAACAAGAGGGGTCTACGTTTGTTTACTTTTTGCCTCTGTAAGACTAGAACAACAAGTGTCTAAGTTTATTTGTCCTGTGTTTTTTTTTTGGTATCTAATTTTCTGATTCTTGTTGAACAGTGTAAGAAGATTCATAATAATGTATTGGATTATAGACATAGTTTTCTCGCTAATTGCAAAAGTTCATGATCAGATACATCTAAATCAACTTACCAATAAACTGAAGATGTTTGGCAAGTGTTTTTGAAAGGCGATTTTACATGTATATGGCTATATATTTTCTAGAGAATTTTATCCTGGGAAAGATATTATTATTATTCTTTGCAAGCTTAGTAAATCCATATGGTAATGTTGGTATTGACTTGAAGGGCCTCTTTTTTGTATCTGCCCCGGGCCTCAAATTTGCTTGGACCGGCCCTGTATATATATATATTTGTGCATCTTTTATGAGTATAATGTTTTGTCATTTTTGTGCAGTGTATTTCCTCATTTCCAGATTTGTTATCGCAGCATTCTTCACCCTTTAGCAACTTGATTTGCTTGACTATAGACTACAGTAAGAAGAAGGATGCATTGATAGTAACAATGTCTAGTGAAGCTAGAAACTTCTTCCTCGAGAACTCTCCAAGCGCCACTTTTACCATGAAATTACCCAAGGTACATACTTTAATCAGAATCATATATTCATCCCTTCCCTGTTCATGACCTTGCATTGATTTAAAGTTTATGCATTTCATTCATCCATTACATGTTACTCTACTTGTAAGGGTTATATAGCCCAACGCTTGTATTATCATAATATTGTATCTGTATCTCAGGTTCATAGTAGAAGATGATGGGTGCTTGAAAGTGGCTTTTGTTTACCAATGGATTGGACGATTTGTGGATTATTAGGGGATTTTGTTTGCGTAGATTTGCCTTTTGAGAAGACAATGTATATATTTTTGTTAGCTTTTGTGATGTAATTATGGGGTAAACGTCTTCTTGGGTTTTGTGGTAACACCTTATAGTAAAGGTTTGATGCTTCCGCTATCTATACTTATATTTTAAAAATGTAAATATGCTAGTCTGAAAATTACAAGTTCCCTTCATCTAATGCTTTTTTTTGACAACTTCCCACACATAAATAAACTTAAACGCTACACGAATCTACCCCTATGCAGACGACTTTTTTTAACCCCATGCCGACGACAAGTCGTCGGAATACCCCCGTCGGCATAGGTGGAAAAGCTGTCGGCATAGATGTCGTTTGGATAGCTGCCCCTATATCGACGACATGTCGTCTGCATAAGCTCCGTCAGGACTGATTTTCGAAAAAAAAAATATAAGTTTTATTATTTACTTGTAATGACTACATGTCGTCAAGACAAGGGTAGTATCAATTAAAATCGGATTAGCAATTGAAGGTTAATGACACCATTAAATTTATGTCCAATTTGGTCAAAACAACAAAAGATCGATTTAGTACCGGAGACAACCAAGGATTAACAGGAAGATACCCAAAATCAAATTCTATTCTATTCAACATGAACCATCATACATGATTCACAAACAATTAGTAGCCAAAATCAAAATATGTATTATTCTAGTCATCATCAAAAATCACTTCCTTTTTTTACTGGAGATGCTTCATTCTCATCCCCATTGTCTTCAAGTGTTTCTACTTCCTGCAAATCATAAAGTACACATCAGATTAGATGTTAGCCATTTATAATCACTACAAATCATGAATACACAAAACCAAAAAACCCATGCAATACTTATAGTTTTTTCATTCTCATTTTCATTTTCAGCGTCATTTGGGGTCTCCAAAGCCTTTTGATATTCTTCTTTAAGTTCATCAGCCCTTGTAGTAAAAGGCTTCTTTTACTAAAAAAAAAATAATCAAGATTTGGAACAAAAACTCATTAGATACTTTTCAACAAAAGAGCTAATTCGACATGAAAGAAAAAGAATGTATGAAATTTGCTACTCACTTCTTCTGTCACAGACTTCCACTTTTCACCCCCTTCCTTTGCAACCTATAACTGAAAATATAAACAAAAAATGTTAACCAAATCGATGGAGAAAACTGCACCAAACAACAAAATAAACCGGAGAAAACTATTTGACTGAGGCCGACAGTGAAAAGGGTAGCGCAGCGGTAAAAAAGGTGGCCGGAATCGCCTATGACTTGAGAGAATCAGGAGTTGTGCGGTGCTGCAAATGAGAGATAGATCTGTTTTTTATTATAGATAAAACTCAATACCGACGACATGTCATCAGGATAGACTACACACAGATCGGATGCCCTCTATACCGACGACATGTCATCTGGATAGCTTTCTAGAAACGACATCGTTTTCTTTTTTCTACAACATAAATTACAAATAAATAGAAAATATATTTCGTAACCTTTACCGACGACATGCCGTCGGGATAAGTTTTCCTTTTCGTTTCAGAAAAGGTTTTCGCATATCATCTTGGAATGTTGCGTACGTTTTTTTCAACAAACTCGCCTTACTTTCTCTGCTAGCCCATTGCTTTTCAAAGTTTGTTTGCCAGATTCTATTTCGAGTTACATTGGTCGGGCATCCGGTAATCTGGATCTTGACCCATTCCCTTACAAAACCGCTCCGTTACCAAAATTGATCACGCAATTGACCCTTTCCTGTGCCGCTATCTTCGGATATGTCGACCCAAGCCTTTGCCAACTCGGTTTCTTCTTTTTGAGTCCATCTTCTCGGATTGACCTTCCCTTTTTTTGTTGTGGTTGTTCTTCCGGCTCGGAATCAGAAAGAGTTTCGGTTGCGGGTGTAAAAGACGGTTGAGATTGAAATTGGAATTGGGTTTGGGATGGTTGAGTTTGTGGTTCGGATTGGAATTGGAATTATTGTGGCATTTGGAATTATGAATAATAGCTAGGAACACCATCCATTTGTGGCCAGTAAGGTGGTGGTGATGTCGGATCGTAACCGAAAAGTGCGAACGGGTTGGGAACATTTTAGTTTGGAGCATTTTGCTTAGAAGAGTTTGGATTGTGTAAATTTGTAATGTGTTAAAAGAATGGTATATATATATATATATATATATATATATATATATATATATATATATATATATAGTGATGTGACCCATGCTTATTTTTTTGTATTGGTTTTTGCTTTGATCGTCGACATTTTTGCCCCTGGGTTAGGTTTCTGTTCTCTGTTACATATGCTTTGCTCCACTCTCGTGATGTTGCTTTGAAGTTTTGGCGTCTGTTGCCCCTTACTATTCTGCTTTCATAAAGTATGCAGGCTCCGTTTGGCATTCTTAACTCTGCTGCATCTGCTAAGTCAAAAACCCAAACAAAAAACATGACATTAAACACAATAAATAGTATGTAATGTCACATATAATAAAAATTATAAAACAGCTGGCAGTTGGTTCCTAAATAGTGTTAAACGGATCCTGCTAAACACATTGAAACATTTTACTTTGGAGAATCTAGCAATTTCACTGATAGATTGGCTGATTTATTTCTCATTTTTGAACAAAATTTGTCTAATTATAAATTAGGTTTTGTTTTTTTATGAATAAATTAACAACATAGGAGCCCAATCCACAACCACAATGGTGGTCAAGATCGCAGAACAATTTGGTGTTTCTGTTTTCTACCTATGATTTTATTTCGTACAAGTGTATGTGACATAAATTAAAGACTCCATAAAAATTTAGTAGATAAAATGTAAAAGACAGGCACTAAATTATTGTAACAAATTATAAAATAGGCATTTAACATATATCAATACAACCCACTTAACACAGATAATAAATGTCTTTAGATATATATTATCATATATCATTCACATAACTAAGCATTAAAAGAAGGAATATTACCTTTTTATTGATATGCCATTATCAACAAATTCCTCCTTGTGTAGTTGAACATTTTGAATCTTGCTGTTGTAGTAACATATTAATATTAGAATTCTAAAATACTTTGTCTGTGCATTTTGATAATATAGATAATATAGAAGGATGTCAACTATTACTTCAAATATGATTAAATGTGCATTGGTGTACAGAGAAAAGTATTATAATTTCGTAACTACATCAGGTATAATAAGTTATAAACCCTAAAACCTACCCTCTTTGCAGAAGTTTGTAGTCTTGCTTTGAAATGGATCCTATCCTCAAAACGCAGAAAATAAATAAAGTGAAACAAAAGAACAGTAACGACTTTAATTGTGGAAAATCAAAAAATGTCAATGAATTAGTGAATACGGAAAAGTTACCTGAAAAAGTTGAAACTAAACCGGGGGCAATCGTGTGCTGAAGCGTATAGAGTGATGATGGTGGTGAACAATGACTTATAGACTGATGGTGGTGGTGGTGGTGAGAAGCCTCGTTTCTATTCAGAGAAAGAAAGACGATTCATACAGATAAAGAGCAATTGCAAATTAGGAGGCATCAGATTCCATGTGCATAAATATCGGTTCATACACACAGTCAAACTTATGCATATGAATACACACAGAAGATGTAAATATGGAGCTTATTACAAAAATTGAGCAATTAGAGTTCCGATTGATCTGAGTCGAGTGTTCCGGTTGCTTTCCCTTTTCTTCTTCACACAGGAATCTCGATTCCGACCACTGCTGCTGGCAACCGACGTCGTCGCACCACCACCACCAGCTAGAAGCCGACTGCAATGGGAGGTGGATTCTCAGGAAGTTTAACTTCTATTCTATTCTCTTTATCAATATGTTGGTCTTTAGTCTTCACCAGTCTGTATGGAAGGAGAAGCATTTATCAATTTTACAACATTACCCTTTTTTGCTTTCTTCACAACCCAACACAAAATCCACTCACCCATCAATGTTTCATCCAATTTTTTTTTATAATATTTCACTTTTAAAGGTTTGAGTAATTTGTAAAAAGGTCTTAAAAAGAAGAATCTCTGGTAGAATATGTCGTTGGATTCATTGTAAACTTATTTTTGCTGGTTTCACCACACATCTAAAGCATAAAGGGACTTGTGAAAGTTAAAAACCAATATACCTGTAAAGCCAAGTCATATTCTTCCCTCATCTTAAATTACCCAGCATGTTCATCGATATGCATACTGGGGTAACCAAAGTCGGAGAGGAGGATACAAACCCAATTCATACTATTGTTAATACTTCTGAAAATGGAATGAAGAAAACCCTTTAACCCAAAATTGATGACTCTGTTCAGCAGAAAACGAAATCATCATTCAAAAAAGCAACACATAAGAACAAAAAAAGAAAAAGAAAGAAACACATACCTGGAGGGAACCGTTGAACAAAGCACAAAGAAAGTGGAAAGAAATACAGGAAAGAACTGAAGCATGGGAGAAAGCACATAGAAAATCGGCAATTGCTGATGGTGGCAAGTGTGCAGATGGTGGCGAGTCTTTGCAACCCTAAAACCCACCCTTCATCTTCGAACTCAGAAGAACATCACCGGGTGACGAAGACGTCGACCTCCTGAAGTGGAGCAGGAGGTGGAAAAAGCGACGGTGGAAAGCGGTTGTTCGTTGCCGCCTTCTTCCGATTTACAGACGAACCGGAGGTGGAATCGATGGAGGTTTGTTGACGACTGTGAATGAAAAGAGGAAAACGCGTGTAATGGAAATCTTTTGGGGGAGATAATGGACTTTTCCCGCCGATTGTTATGATAGTAGACTGAGAGAAGACGGTGGAAGCAATTGTGTAAGCATCCCATTGGAAAGGAAAGGCGGTGAAAGACACCTAATAAAAAATGAAAGTAACCAATGCAACGACAGTTCCGTAAGGAACCTAAAATTAATATGATTATAAATAGTAAATTTGTTTAAAAAAAATCAAAA